GTGACTGCTAAATACTCTGCTTAATTCAAACTGAAATCATTTTCAGAGGATCTGATGGACAAACAAACTATCAGAGAAGCAAAAGTTTCCTCCAGAAGGATATCAGAGTGTCACTGATGAACATTCCTGGTTGACAGCGTGTAGGTGTGTCTAAGTGCATCTGTAAACCGACATGCGAGTGCTGCCAGCCGTCTGCTGCGCTCTGCTGTAGCTGATGATGTAGATGTTGTTCCCTGGAAAGTCAGCGCCCAAATTAAAGCCGCGATGTTTGATTAAGTGTGCCAGGTGATCTCAGGAGAGGCGCGGCAGATACAACCTCAACCCCCTCATTCATTTGTAAACCTCCAAATGCGGGCTTGAAATACAGGAAGTAGGAGTGTGTGCTGTAAATCTCACCCCCCCTCCCCCCTTGATTGGGAATACAAATGATCAAATGTTGGAGGGCTAGGATTGTATGGGTACACGGTGTCAGCAAAGCAGCGAGCGGCGGAGAGGAGGAGAATAGAAGGAATTAGGCTTGTGATGTGTGAGAAAGAGAGAGAGAGAGAGAGAGGAGCATCTGAAAATAAAGATATAAGCTGCATTGTAGCTGCTCAACTTGAATGTGGCACAGAAAGAATAATACATGAAAAAAAAAAATCTGTCATTGGTTTGAGATCAATTGCCAGAATCAAATAAAAACCTTATTCAGTCACACAATGTTTGTTTTCCGAATTAACCGACTCCTAATTTGCTATTCTAGGATAGTTTTAATGACTAGCGAGGTAAACAACTTCACCAACTAAAAGTCAATTATAACTTTATCAGCACAGTCTCCGGTTGGAAGAGGAGATGTGGATCTAACAAAAAGCAACAAAAGTACCTTGATCTTCTTGTTTTATTGAGTATTTCTTCTCGGCATGCTAGTCAACACACTGATTTTACTGACAAAACAAGGTGCCACAGATATTTAAAAAGTAGAAAACCATCGCAACTTTTGGTTAAACTTTAGCAGTTTTTCAGCAAATCAGATTACTGGTAAAACATGTTATACGAAATTTAAAGATTGCTCTATACTCTGATATCAGGTCATTTAAATAAGCGTAAAATAAACAGCTATTTAAATAGGAGAACAAAGACCAACCTGTTTATACTGCTGCCTATACAATAGAGAACATTAGAGAATGGCTGGCCTTTAGCTGTTACCAGGTGTGCACAATGCTAATCTATTTTAATCTCAAAGCCTGGTAAGTACAATTAAATTTTTTTTTAAAGAAAAATTATTGGGAAAAAAATCAAATTTATTTGTTAGCTTTTCCTTCATAAGGGAGCTGTTTTTAAAGTTCATTGGATGTTCCTCAGGGCCTGCTTGGATGGTCACATTTTTTTTTATTATTAATGAAAATTACACTATGGTGTTTCAACAATAATAAACTGTATTTAGTACAATATTTAGATATTTTTTTTTTTTGATAAAAACATTCTTTAGAAAGTGCTTTAGTAAGATTTAATAGATCTTGTAAACTCAGATATGAGCAAAATAAAAACATGCTTTGAAAGTGATGAAGTAAAACAAAGGAATAAAAAACATTTTGATCATAAATCCGTCCTTTCTAAACCCCACACGTCTCTATTTAATTACATTATGAACATTATGAACTAATTAAGTTACATTTAAATTATTTTAGAAGGCAATACTCCCGGCAAAAAATAAGGAAAAAGGAAAGTCAACTTTCACAAAATAAAATACATAGAAATATAATTATTACCTAATTTAATTAATTTGGTTCTATTTTTGACAGCAAAAACAATGTATAAAGCGATAAATCTACCCTCTATATAATACACAAAATCATGTTTTTATCAAAATGTGATATGAGAAAAGAGTCGGATCTAAAAAAAACTGACTTGCATTTCTGTATGGAGAGTAGAAATTATCATGTTAACGGCAAATGTTTTAAAATATAGTTTCTTCAAGGCACAGTGATAAACTTTGGGTTTGACCAGGTGTAAATACAAAGATGTGTGTGTGGGTTATATATTTACTAGGGTAGCTAAGCCCCAATTACAATTAGATATTAAAATTAATTTCATTATACTAAAAAGTTTTTTTTCCTGTTAGCAAATATATATATATATATATAATTGCTGAGCATTGTGAAGTCATCTGGGAAGATTACTCCTTGTTTTAAAGTGGAAAGACCTTTCTGCCATCACCCTAATGTTTACATCCCTCATCATCTTTTAGAAATCTGGCTGCGCTGCTTCAAAACACTAAAAGAATGTTTAGTCAAATAAAAAGAAAAAAACACAGGTTCAATTCACAGATTACGTTAACCTAAATCTGCCAGGGGTATGAATAATTTTAAGCTTAGCATCACTTTTTTCGTCTATTTTTGTTCATTTATGTGGATTGTGTGTTGATAGTAGTCAATGTAAAGCTATGGTATTATTAATGGTAGGCCTATGCATCGTATAAATTTGTGATATTTGAAAGAGGAAATAAAGAAGTCAGCAGAAAATTATAAAAGTAGGTAGTGGGTAAGGGATGGGATACTAAAAAAAAAAAAAAACTTCCTCCTGTATTTTTTATTTTATTTTAAAGTGTTTAAAAAAAAGGATTTTAGTTCTAAAGTCCTTATCAGAGAATCATGGCATCCATTTGCACCCCTTACCAATTACTCTCTCATTTAGATCTGGCCTTCTCTTCCAAACGGAACCGCTACCAGCTTACTGGTATATGTAATAGTCAATAAATGTGAAATATTATGTGTGAAACTGCGAGAAAAGGCCGTTATGGGGCGGGCACTTGTGGAGCTGGAATAGAGGTCCCGTCTGAAAGGGAGCAGCTAATTCAGGACAACTGTGAACTCTGAACCCCCTAAAAGCACAGCCAGTGGTCAGCCAGGCCAGGTAACCAGCTCCACATGTGCTGCCAGCCTGCACCGCCGTAATTACATGGATCTCTAAAGGTTTGTTTAAATCAACATCAGAAGCGCTTTTTGTTTTCTATTGCCGTTGGACCTTAATTTCAGACACATTTTGCCCGTGGCCTTTACCTTTTAATTCAGGTGGTGCTGCATATATTTATAGGAGGTGAGGCAGAGCTTTTTAAGTAAGGATCGTTGTGACTCCATAGGTCTCAGGGCCTGGCTTTCGCTCTGAATAATCCTGAGTGTTAAGTAGCCAGTGTTACAGTGAGAATTGGAGAGAAATAAAGGGCGGTTTTTAATAGCTCAGAAGCGACATGCTGCAGCCGAGCGCAGACAGAGAACCGCTCAGCATTAATCAGGAAATCAGGCCCCAGTTCAACAGACAGCACAATGCCTCTAACATCTCCTTGTGTGCAAACACTAACATCAAATGCCATGTGGCATGTCCTCATCACTAACAAGCAAACTAACAAGAGACCTGGAATTCCACTCAATTAGTACCTGCTCGCTTTGTTATTAATCTGCTAGCCTCTGTGAATAGATAAGAGGAGACAGGAGGGGGGGGGAACCTGTATGGGAATAAAAACAACAACAACATTTTGTTCCGATAAATATATTAATGCCAGCAAAGTTGCTTTTTCAGGTGCTGTAATTTGACATGATATGCGAGCTATGTTCTGTCATTAGTCAGGAAAAAATTGGTGAGCAGGGGATCAAAGCAAAAAGGCACTGAGCCTGCCACTTAATTTATCACACGGCGAAAAGACAAAGGCTTTTCTCTCTGCTTCTGTCGCTTTTCAAAAGCTTCCACTCTTTTTATGACAAACTCAGTTTGCTATTTAATTTAGGGCTTCAGTCCCCAGGTGCAGAAAAGCGAGCAGGCAGGAAGTGAGAAGACGGTACTGCAGCCAGACAGGCACACAGGCAGAGAAGTATGAGAAGCAAACAGCGGGTGCAAGAGACGTCCAGGTTGGCGGGAAGTGCTGTGAGAGAGACATGTAGGCAGACAGGTGCCATGAAACCCAAGCAGCCGGGGAAGCAATAAGGCAGGCAGACAGGATTGAAAGTCGGCAGAAAATGTTATAAAGTGCAGAAAAGAACTCACGGGGCAAAGAGACGTTGGTACGCGCTAGCAGTCAGTGTTGGCAGAGCAGTTCTAAATCAGGAAAACCAGAGGAGTGTGGGAGTTTGAGCAGGTCTGGGGTCTGCTGGGCAGTAGATTGAATTATGTACTGCTGCTGGGGGAAGGAGTCCAGTAGGCAGTGGAACCTGAGCGTATGCTGTTAGCAGCGTGTGTAATAGTGCATCCACAGCCTCAGCTGGGATCCCAGCGCCTCGCAGAGGAGCTTTAATACACACACTGTGAAGACTAACTAAACAAACAGATTCCTGCTTCCACAAAGACAAGGGAGACAAGCACATGTGTTGTTCTCCGTGGCTGTGGATGTGTGTAAAAGTGTGAGTGACCCCGACGCCATGGTGATGCTTCCTGTAGCACTGACCAGCGTCAGTGCTCCATTAATTAAAGAGACGATGCGCTGGCAGGTGGCTTCACTGCCCACACTGGTAATTGGACCCTTTCTTCCCACTCTCTCCCCCCACAAAATCACCCATCTCTGCCTTTTCTTTTCTTTTCTCTGCCTCGTTCCCTCCTCCTATCTCTCAGAAACGTGCCAGTGGGCAGGCAGCAAGGCAAGACTTTGTGAAATAATGATTAGAATGGATGAAGATGAAGGGAAAGGAGTTTCACATTTTCCCACAAGCCTCTGATGGTCGGGGAATGCTGTTTGCCTTCAAGCGTCATACGACGCGACGGGAGTTTACTTTAGACAGCCACAATCTAAGAAGCCAGAACTGCAGTCATTAATGATGTGGGGAGGGGACAGAGCTGTACTTTGACAAGTTTTTGGATGTGGGTGTGCGAGAGGATCTGTGTGCACATGTGGGCAGAGATGTGAGAGTGAGATTACGTGGTGAGGAGATGGGGAAAATAACCTTGATGTGTTGCATGTGGAATGACACAATAAAGCCCGAGATGCAAAAGAAGCCTCGGTGTGTTTGGTGGTGTTTATTTTTTGCGATTCTCACCACATCACTAGGAAGGTTCTGCAGGTCATCAAAGGGGCTTTCCATGGTGTTTGTGTCCACGTTGAGAATGACCACATCCTCCAGCGAGCGACTGCATACTCTCTAAAAGACAAAATGTGGAGCTGTGATCTTGAGCAGCTGTGGACAGAAGAGAAACTTGGTAATACGGTATATAGTGTTGGAAAGTAATCAAGAGACTAGAAATCTGTGTCTCTGTCTCGTTCCACTCTCTGTTGAGTGCCGACACAAGCATGCAAAACTCTACTTAATGAGGAACTGAGTCTGTGATCAGCTGAAAGAAACAGCAAACAGAAAGACTGCTAGGAGAGCATCTGAAGACACGTAAAAGCTATGATTGAAAATCCATATTATCTAAAAAAAAAAAAAATTTTAAATCTGGATTTTTCCACCAACAAAATGTATTTCTCAACGCAAATCAGATCACACTGTGTTAAGGAAAAAATTATAAGAATATTTTTTTTCTTTATTTTGTCAGTTAAAGTATGGAAGAACCTCTTTGTGTGATGTTGACCAAGTGTTATTCGAAGTAAAGTAAATATTTTAACTTTATTTATTTTTTTATTTTTTTAATGATGTGGAAATATTTATTAGTATTTTGAAGAATAAAACAAAGATAAAAAAAAAAAAATTTAAATAGCAAGAACTTATATCAAACAAAAAAATGGAAAGATTAAACCCAATTAGATCAGATAATGATCTAAAAGTTTTCTGTTATTAATACTAATAGAAAATACTTATGCAAAATAAGTAATCAGAGTAATGATATGTTATTTAGTCAATATACTTGGGGTTCCTTATTAATGGTTTGTATATATTACAGAGAATACCTACCAAAGTGCAGGACTGGGAAAAAACCTTCTATAGCCTCACAGTTTTCTTTGGGCATCACTAACATCACTAACAGAGGTAAAGTTAACAGAGGAAGTCAAGAAGAAGAATAGCTATCCGAAGCCAATCAGTAATAAACGAGCTAAAAGTGACTGAGAATATTTTCTTTTGTTCATCGTTAGGAGCCGCAGCTACACCTGATTACAGCCTGAGCTGCAGAATTAAGAGATTACTCAAATAGAACCAATCCAACGGTGCAAAGCAAGATAAAAGATCTCAATGAGCAACTCATCCCTCCCAGATCTAATCAGGCTCTAAAGCTGATGAGAACCAGTCTGGGAAAAGTTAAACAAAGGAAATACAATTTCTAAGGTTTGGGAACCAGAGAGACTTTATAGGGAAAAATGGTTCCAAACCCCAAACTACTCCTGACCAACAATAACACTTAACTCTATCCCACATTTTTTAACCAGAGATTGAAGAGAATATATTGTGGAAAAACTTATTAGGAAAAAAAAAGCATTGTTTAAAAGGTTTGCATACTGTTACATTGGGAAAAAAGCTAATTTCAAAGAAGAATATCATGACTATAGTAAAACATGGTGGTGGTAGCGTAATAGTATGGGGCTGCTTTGCTGGATGATAAAACAGACAGACTTTTATAACTCTGCTTTCCATCTAAAATTCTTGAAGGAGAATGTCTGTACTAGGGCTGAAACAATTAATGGGATAATTGGTGATTAATCCATTATTGAAACTAATTTAGTTTGATTAATCATTAACTGGAGCTTAGAGACCGTAAAACATGCCTGCTGACAGAGAGACCCACTTAAAGCAGTAATTTTACAAATTTTTTTTTGAATAAATCTAAAAATATTTTGCATTTAAGTTGAAAAATCTTTTTCGTCTGTCAATATGCTCTATCCAGAACTCCTCAAGTGGAAAAGTTTCGGGTTCACCTGGTTTAATTTCATAAAAAGTCTTCTTTAAGGAACCTTTTCCGATCTGATTATTGATCAATTAATTGAAAAAATAATCAACAGATTAATCGATTTGCTAGATAATCGTTAGTTGCAGCCCATCATCTTAAACTTAAAGAATTGGCTTATGTAGCAGCAAAATAATTTGAACCGCATCAGCAAGAATTGCTAAAAATTATAAGAATATATAAACTAAGATCTGTGGCATGTCTATAAACAGGAAAAAACCTTTAATGTGGCCGAATGCAAAAAATTCTGCTAAGAAGAAAAGAACAAGATTCTTCCACAACGATGGACTCGCATCCAGTTCCGCAAATGAACTGGATTTGTTTTGTAAGATGTCTTAACATGTACTGCAAACTGGCTCTACATAAATAAACTAAACAGAGGTGTGTGATTAAGATGGGATTTGAACTTCCAGTTTATACAGGGGACAAAGTCATTTCAAGTAAAAACCACAAACTCTCCTGGAAAACCAGTTTTCTCACTCGTAGATGATTAAAAAAATAAAATGGGAAAGGAGAATATATAATAGCAGACCAGCTTTATGTAGCAGATGTATGGGAAACAAAGAATGTGGCTGAGAGGAAACATTTGGAGTCCAGGAGCGTTTTCTACAGAACCAAAAACATCATGCATCAACAGCAGCCCAGTGATGCTGTGCTGTGCCGTGCGCATCCTGATGGCGACAAATTCAACAATTATTTCAGTGTGGTGCAGGAAGGATGTGGGCAGGTGTGTGGTGTGTGTGTGTGTGCGGGTTTGGAGGCAGCATAGTGTGTGAATTTCTAGTTTGTCACTTTTGTGACAGCCTGTGCAGCGGAGGCTCACATGCTGATCTGGACTAATTATGTAGTGGCGGAAAGAAGGTCTGTCACGGATGCAGAGTGTGATAAATACTGCCACCGCCGCAACTGTCATACAAGTATCACACACACATACACACCCCCACGCACATGCACAAAAACACACATGTGCATAACATTATAGGCAATTACACACACACACACCTAGAAAGTAACACTCGCGCACGAGTGTTAAAAAGTGTGCGTTCTTGCGTCATGCGTTCACATAAAACAGGCGCACTGATGACGGCCTGCTCCCCAACCAACAGAGGGTTTAACAATGAAGAAGAAAAGCTCTTTGTTTGCAGATGCTTTTTCTGCCTTTCTGTCTCTGCCTTTTGTACTTTTGGTTCAGAAGCCGAGGCACACAAGCAATATAGAGTTGAAACAGACCTAAAGAAAAAAATGAGCTGTTTTAAGCATAAAATAAAGTTGGAGTTTGTGAAAAAGGTATATCTCAGTTTATGGCAAAACCCATTTAAAATGAACTCCTCTAGAATGGAGTTGTCATTCATTTATGTTATGACACAGTGAAAGAGATGCAGCAATTATCAAAACATCTCAAATCAAGATAAATGATCAAAAACGGTTTGCACATTTCCATCCACTCCTTGGAAACACAGATATAAGCTAAACATGCACATGACACTATGGTATGGTTTTATAGAAAAATGAACAGTAACATACCTCAAGTAGACTATAGTGGACGCCCACAAAGTATGGCATTGGAGCACTGAGGATGTAGAAAATACAGGAAATCTGTTATTACAATGATGTCCATCTTTAAATATTTCCAAATAACTAAACATTACAGTCACCTTATTGGATAGATATTTTGTTTTCCAAACTAAATAAAAGGTGCACTAAACAGGATATTCTAGGCCAATACTTATTTCTTCTGAGTTGACCTTCCAATTTTTGAATTTGTAAATCAAATAGGAAATACAGAAATCACATTCTTCATAGTATTTCAACTAAATTCTATTTTTAATCAAACTGCACCAGTTGATCAAACTAGATGCTGTTGGTCAATGCATTTATAGACAAAATGTTTAAAGTTCAAGGTTTTCCTAAATCTGATGAAGAAGACTAAATAAAACTTCTCTGATTTTTCAGTAATTGCCCTACCTGTCATTGGTCAGAGCTGCCTGTCTATCCATCTATATGTCGATATATGTCGATATATGTCGATATATGTCGATATATGTCGATATATGTCGATATATGTCGATATATGTCGATAGATAGATAGATAGATAGATAGATAGATAGATAGATAGATAGATAGATAGATAGATAGATAGATAGATAGATAGATAGATAGATAGATAGATAGATAGATAGATAGATGAGGTGCAGTGTGAAAGTTCAACAGGCAGGATTTTGAGAGCCATGTCATATTTGATTTTTTATAGAGCCCAAAGTTACTGCAGATATCATTAGGACATTTTGAAGCCCTTCATGGTTACTTATGTTTACTTCCTAGAAGATGAACTGGCAACAAAAACAGTTGAATCACAATATCTTGTTTATTACCCATGGTATCACTGGGCGCGACTACCTCCAAAACTCTCCTGAAATAAGCACCAGACCAAACAATGCATAATAATAAAACAATGCATGCAAAAGAAACCCACACCAAGCACTAGGGCCAGAGAATGGCAAATAAATTGAGTGGTCAATAGGAGGACATTTCTGTATTAAATATATATATATATATATATATATATATATATATATATATATATATATATATATATATATATATATATATATATATATATTTAACATATATTTTGTCTTTTAATGTGGTTTTCAAACATCTTTAGAGATGGCTTACTTGTGGAGGAACAACAGAAAATCTAATTAATTAGTCATAGAAAAGCAAAGTGAGCAGACATAGAGGCAGCTTTTGGGATGTTCCAGTCCTCTACTTTAGTATGTTTGTGTTCGGGGTCTTTTATAAACCAAAGGCTTCTAATCACCTTAAAGAAAACACGCCTGTACTGTTTATTCAACATCCAGCTCCGAGTTACAGAATTTCAGATGTAATGTAGAGAAACACAGCCAACATCTAATGTAGTTTAGTTATCGCATCAGGGAATGGAAGACACCCGGTTATTTAATAAGGTAACCATGAGTCTCTGCAGAGTGATGGAAATCACATTTCCCTGTCAGTGAAGAATAGTTTCTCTAAGTGGATTCGTCCCTCCTGGAAAAGCTCTGCACTGCACAAGCAATCCGATTCAACCTTTTACACATAGTGACGTCCACACATGTACGCTACATCTGCACTAATGCAAAGTTAACCTGAACGAATGCAGATTTTGTAGACACTACTTCTGCTCTTCGTTCAGTTTCAATCAAGTCCGTTCAGATTTGTTGGATTTGTGTTGGAAGGGAGGTAATGAACCCCTGAGAGAGTTCAGGCGATGATGAGAGCGTGCTGCTTAGAACTGCCATGAAATATAGAGTAAGGTGATCTGGTCCGTTCATTATGAGCGGAGCAGCGCTGGAGAAGGAGTACGTAAGAGAACATGAATACTGTGTGGGAGAACGTGTGAACATGTGTGGCTATGCTTTAACACGGGGATGTTAGTGGCTAAAATTGATGCATAATTGTACATGATGCGCTGTGTGGGGCTGTACGTCTGCGTGTGGAGGCTGAGCATCAGGTGCGGACGGCAAGGAGACAGCAGTGGAGGGAGAAAAGAAAGATTTTTTTCTTCATGTTGGTGATGATTGTGTTTGTGTTTTAGGGGTGGTCAGGCTTACCAGCAGTAGTCCAGAAGATGCGGAGGCAGGACCGGGATGAAGATGTGCTGCCAGTACATGGGAAAGAGCAAAGCTGCTGCACCGTGGACGCATGCAGTCAACTACACAACAAAGCAGAAAAAACAGGAGACAACTAAAACCAAACTTTCCAGACAAATAAACATTCTATCAACCAAACTGTTTTAAAAACATAACCTTTATTTCAAGATTTAAATTAGCATCTCAATATATATGGAGGTCACTGAATATGAATTAAATCAGGAAATTATTTCAGAACAAAAAATTCATATAGATTTAGTCACCTCGTGGCATGATTGTGGATTTCAGTTGATGAAATCTCAAAATTCAGTTTCTTTTATTTAATTTCTGCAATTTCTATATTAAACTAATCAATAAAATAAGGATTTTAAAGACAAAGTTGCAGCTAACAGTAAGCTATGTCCATCTACTGCACAGTATGTACACTAAATACTTGTTTGGAGGTCTTTTAGCAGAAGTTCCTACATCTGCGAGGCGTAAGGATATACAGTACCTATAGAATTAGATTTTAAAATAAAAAAATAAATCTCTCACCTAAAAAGACATTCAGACCACTGTGCAAAGGCCCGGTTCTTCACTAGCTAATGTAAGGGTGGCTTCACATTAAAAAAACAGCTGTAGCTTGTTCCCTCTACATCTCTTTATTTTAGCTCTGCGATTCTCCTCCAAACTCTCACATTATTTCTAAGTCCTCTCATGTTGTTTGTGATGTTCTTCAGGATTTTCTTCCACTTAACTTTCCTTTTTTATTTCTTTTCCTTCTATTTGACTTTTATTCCACCAGGTAAATAATTCCACTCAGAACAAAACATATTTTAATGGAATCAAAACTAAAATTTCCATCATAACAGAAAACCAATATGCTCAGACCGCATCTTGGTCAACTGTCAAGCCAGCCATCTTCCTCATGACTGCATGAGCCACAAAAACATTTCAATGTTAAAGATCCATTTGAAGAAAATTAAGTTATGGTCTTAAGGAAATTAATTTGGGATTACTTCAATATTAATCTGAAAGATATCACCCACTCTATGTGATAAATCTGACAGGTTTTTGTGATTAAGTTACTAATTGAAAAAAGTGTAGTGATCTAAAAGAAATAATCTTTTCTCAAACCAAAAATGGACAAATCTTAATGAAAACAACAACAGAAGAGAGAGAGATAAAAAGTATATGAACATTTGGATCCCAAATAGGCAAATATTCTCTTAACTTTTAGCCTTGTTTTATATTTGGATTTTAAAGTTTAAAATGGTTTATCGCCAATTGAAAAATGAGGAAACAATGAAGAGTGTTCATATTTCAAGAATCTTGTTCTGTGACCTGAACAAAAAGAGATGACAAAAGAAAAGCAAAACCAGCTCTGACAGCAGCCATAAAAATCAAAATTACCCCAACTACCCAAACTGAGATTTTACAGGGGAAAATATGGAATAATTAACCTCGTTTTTAACAAATAATGAGACGCAATCGTGTAAGGATGACATTGCTTTTCAAAGCTGCTTTTTACATTGTCAAACCAATATTACACTTAGAATTAAAGTCATTGTCTCCCATTGTCTTAAAGCAAGCGTCCCCCGCCTTTCCTGACATGACATGTCACAAAAACTCAACTATAGTAATGACCTGCAGCACACACACACGCACACACCCAGAGACGCAGCAGGAGACAGAGGCGTTAGCTCATCCCCCAGATTAAAATAACATGATTAAATATGGAAAGAGAACAGAGGTCTGAGGGGCTCCTGCGGGACTTCATTAGGGCAAATTGCCAAAGAATGAAACATGAGTTAGCCAAGAGAGACTGCGGGCTAGGCCAATACCGCCGGGACCCCCGCAGCAGCAGCCGCCGTTATACCGCTGCAGCTTTACAGCCAAAGTGTGAAGCGGACACACACTATCACACACGCACAGCTACCCGGAGACCCCCCCGCGCTCGCTGACACACAGAGTGTCACAATTGACCGGCCAAAAGCCGGAGTTCGTGGTGGCTGAATACAACCGCTGCCAGAGGAGGAGAAGAAGACAAGGGGGGGGGGGGGGGGGTGGGGCCTGTGATAAAACTCGGGCATCTAAAAAAGAAAAGAAGCATTCATGTGTTTGTGTTTCCATACCCCCCCTCCCCCCCAATTTGTTTTAACCGCTTTCATTTTTCATATCAGACGGCAAACAAAAAAAAACAATGATTTTTTCTTATTGTCTTTCTTACACAGAGTCCCACAATACTTAAGACTTAATCAACATTTAATTGGTGTCTTGCTCTGTGTATCTGCATATGCATATTCCTGCTTCCTGCTGTCTGGAAATGAAACAACAATGCCACACTCCTGTCAGGATTAATTTCTTGGCAAACAGTTTTTTTTTTTTTTCTTCTGTTAATTCTGAAAATAAATCAATGCGATGAATATTAATGAGCCGCACTGAGACGCTATGTGAAAAGGAGGGCTATCAAAACTATCACACCCTTCTTCCGTCTCGTAAGGGGGCCATTAAATCGTGATGAAGTGGGGTCACCGATCTGCCTGCGGACCTTCACTGAGACACACATGCAGGCTGAGTGAGGAGCCAACAGGCGGGTGTATTCTTCCTCTGGGAGTGCGAGACAAGCCCCAGCCATTCACTGGTACCAGGAGGTAATGGCACAGAACACCTCGCTAACCAACTCCAATTATCTCCACCAGGCCTCAAGGTGAGCCCCCCAACTGGCATGATTTACTCTCAGGTTGAAAGTGAAAACAAGAGTCTCTCTCTGCCTCTCTCCCTCTCAGGCGGGGTGGCTGGGCTCAGGGGAGCCGGCTTGGAAGGGAGTCCGAAACCTAGATTATGATTTATAACGTAAATCTAGATATTGCTCCTCTTTTATTTGTTATCTCCAAAGCGATGGAGGCAGCGGTGCGCCTCAGATAAAGCAACTTGGAAAGAACTCCACAGGAATAGTTCACATATTTGTTTCCCAAACTCAGATTAATACAAACCCTTGTGTCCTTGTGCAGGTTTTAGAACAAATGAGGCAAAAAGCAAAACGGGAGATAAATTGAAAAGGAAAAAAGAAATCATACTTTCCCCCCCCACACTTTTTTTTTCTTCATTTAGAGGAGAGCTTCACATGAGAGTGGGTCATAAGAGGCTAAGGCTGATAAAATATTTGCCAGGCTGATAAATAATAGATGAGTGGAGCCAAATGGCTTACACGCTCCACAAAAGACCTGGGTGCTTAATATTCCATTCAATGGAGAATCACAGATACAGTCCCCAAGAACAAATACAGGATTAGGTGCTGGGTCCAGTCCTCGGGGACCAGGGCTCTGCCCGGTAATGAGGGGCTGCCTGCCTCTTATGCTGAGTGTGTGCTTGTGTGTTGCCCCCTCCGCTGAGAGAAGCTAACCGATTATACAGCGACAGACTGCTTCAAAAAGCAGTCAAGGTCTTTGGTTTTGCCCTGAGAGCTTTTTAGTGTGCTGTGGCTTAGGCGGAAAGTGCCCAAACTAACGCTGGACCCATTCAGTGAGACTAAAGGACGATCAGACTAGGAGGAGACAGACGGAGGGACTGAATAACAGAAAGGGAGGAGGGAAAAGTTGGCAGGAATAAAGATAAAAGATAGATGTAAGCTCTAAAACAGGATCCTGAGACTTCCCACATCCTATGGTCAGTTCTACAGCTTCATTCATATTTGATGCAAAGAATGCAGAGCTCAAACTATCATGTAGTTTTACTCCATTAAGTTATAATTTAAAAAAAGTATCTTAATCACTAAAATTTGCACCATGGATGGAGATCAGAGAAAGCCAAAGTCCACCCAACTGTTGAGTTGTATCTTTTGGATGCAGAGTGTTAATCTATACCACCTTAAATATAAAACAACAAGAAGCTTTCTTGGTCTTTTGAGCCTGTCAAATTTCACACATGAACACTGCAGTTCAATGTATTGTGCAGCTCTGACAATAAAAATCTACTTTATGTGAACAAAGTGTAATTGATTTTTAAAAAAAGATGCTATATATCAGTATAACATGGCCTGAAGGTTATATACTGTACCATTTTTCCTGCTTTCAAAGTGCAGCCCCATGTGTGTGACAAAATTTAGAAAGCTCAGGAAATCGGCAAAATATTATATTCATTAGCGTAAAAATAATTAAATACTGTTAACGGCTGCCAAAACGATTCAATATATGTCACTAGAATTTTATGCTATAGACCAACACAAGGTAGAACAAACTAAAAGGAAATAAACTGATGCAATAGATGGTTTTAACCAATATTTACTAACTAAAACCTGTTAGCTGTACCCAGCTGTATTCAGCCACCATGAGTTGGAGAAAAGTGTTTTTCCACAGAAAGGGCTACATATTTTGAGGTGTGTCCACCAGCTTGTGCACATCTATAGTCTGTATTTATTTAACTCATCTTTACAGTACAGCTAAAGCTCAGGCAGCTTGGACGGACAGTGTCTATGAATGTCAATTTTTGATCCTTGCCCCAGATTCTTATTTGGATTCAGGTCTGGACTGTAGTTGGGCAAAGCTGATGCATAAATATGCTGCGATATGAAGCATTCCTCTCTGGCTGGAGGTTTAGGGTTGTTGTTCTACTAGAAGGTGAACCTCTCCCTGGGTCTTTTAAGCTTTGCTTCTAGGGTTTCCTTGTCCTGGCTGAAGAAACGTACTCCCACAGCATAATACTGCCACCTCCATGTTTTATACTATTGGAATGGTGTGATAGTGGGTATATGACTGGAGCCCTCACTGGAATAAAGGTTTCATTATTGAGATATGGATCTCTGGAGCTTCTCCAGACTCACTACAGCCATCTAAGCTGCTTCTCTGACTAATGCTTTAATTGCCCTACTTTTCTGTTGATCTGGACAGTTTTTGTTTGACGGATTGAAAGCTAGTCTTTTTGGGTAACTTATTGAGAAGAGCTCTTTGAGTCGGTTGAAGCTTGGAATATTGTTTTAGAAGCTAGCCCTGCTTTAGATATCTCCAATACTCCCTGACCTGTGTGTTGTGTGCAACTGAGGGGAAGGAGGAGGGGAAAATTCCCATGTATCCCATGCATCATT